CGGGCGACGGAGTGAGAGTCCAACTCAAAAAAAAAAAAAAAAATGTTTTTGGAGATGTGATCTCATTATGTTGCCCAGGCTGATCTCGAACTCCTGGTCTCAAGCAATCCTCCCACCTTGGCCTCTCAAAATGCTGGAATTACCGGTGCAGCCACTGCACCTGGCAGTTATTGTTATTGCTTCTGCTCTCTGGGCTTCATTTTCTCACCTGTAAATACCCTCATTCTGCCAGGGATGTTACAGTTGAGAACGTCCTCACATCAGTTGACTAAGTTGAATCTCAAAGGTTAGCACTACTGGACAGATGCAGCAGGGACCACAAATCCACTTTCAAAAGGACAAACTGAGGTCCGGCCTCGTGGAGCTGGCGTTCCAGATGCACCTGGCCTCCCTGCTCCGAGGAGTTGAGCCCACAATCCTACACCAGACCCTCCTTCTGCAACCGCTAGGGAACGTGTAGTTTCCCTGGGAGGCACCTTCCTCCCCAGGCAGCCCCTAAGAATGGGATCCACAGCGCGACAGGCCCCCCTGACCGGCCCTCGCGGCCTCCTGCTCTGGGACCAGCCCGTGCTGGGCACTGATGACGCAGAGAGAAGATGGAGCCAGGCCCTGCCCCGAGCCACTCAGGCTGGAGGCTGCGGTGGCATCAGCAGCCCTGGCACTGAGCAGCAGACTCGGCCCGGGGGCGTGGGGGCTGTGGGGACAGGAGGAGGAGCCCTGAGGGCGGAGGCCGGGAGCGCTGACGAAAGGACCCCGAGTCGGCCAAACGGGCGTCAGCGGCACCTCGGGCAGAGGGCCCTGCGAGAGCAGGGCTAGAGTCTGGCAAGACAGATGGGCTTGCGGGGCCAATCGCCAGCCCGGTCCCTCCTGGCCTGTGACGGCTTCTCCAATCCCTGGCACAGGGGAACGGCTTTCCCGTCCATCTCCGGGGGCCTCGTGATCCCGATTTCCTGTGGGCGGGTGGCAGATGGGCGGTGGCGGCCGAGAACCCGGGAAGGCACGCAGTGTGTGTGCGTCGCCGGGAGGCCTGCGCACAGTCCAGGGCTGCTGGGCAGGGGCTCATCTCCCTGGGCCCCTGAAGGGCAGGCTGGAGCCTGGATTCCGGGAAGGGGCCCGGGGTCACATCCTGACCCGCCAACAGGAAACCGGCCTGGTGTCTCAGCCATTCCCGTCACAGGTCTGCTGTCCTCCTAAGCCCCCGGGCAGCCGGGCTGGGGCAAGGCTGGGTCACCGGCTGATTCACCCCACTCCTGGGCACACTCGGGGCAACCGAAGACCCCCTCCCCCCAGCAAAGTCTGCCAGGACCCAGCACTGACTCACTCCTGGACAGAGGAGCTGGAGAGGCCAACCCGGCAGGGAGAGCTGGGAGGAACCCTGGGTTTCCCCGGACTGTCCTGGGCAGCTGTGGAAGACAGGTGGCTCTTAGACTTCGACAAGGGGGGCCCCTGCCCCGGACCCTAGAAAAAGTGGGGTCTCTAGGCGGGGTGCAGTGGCTCACGCCTGTCATCCCAGCTCTTTGGGAGGCCGAGGCGGGAGGATTGCTTGAGCCCACAGGTTCGAGACCAGCCTGGACAGGGTGGTGAGACCTTGTCTCTACAAACAATAAAAAAATCAGCCGGGCATGGTGGCCTCTGCCCCGAGTGCCGCTGACTCCTGTTTGGCTGACACGGGGTCCTTTTGTCAGCGCTCCCTCCCTACCCCCTCAGGGCTCCTCCTCCTGTCCCCACAGCCCACACGCCCCCGGGGCCGATTCTGCTGCTCAGTGCCAGGGCTGCTGATGCCACCGCGGCCTCCCAGCCTGTGAGTGGCTTGGGCCAGGGCCTGGCTCCACCTTCTCTCTCAGGGAGCTGAGGCAGGAGGATGGCTGGAATCCAGGAGCTTGAAGCTGAGGTGAGCCGTAATCGTGCCACTGCACTCCAGCCCAGGCAACAGAGGGAGACCCTGACTCAAAAAAAAAAAAGCAATCTCTCTCTAGCCCCCTTTCAGCCGCCTCCCTCACCAGGGTGGGGAGTCTTCGGGGCTAAGAATATGCGCCCCCCTGAAACCTGTCCCCCTCCCTGTTGGACCGTGCTGTGGATACCCAGGAGCCCTGAACTCCTGGCCCAGGGGTACTGAGCCTCCCCTCAGGCTGCCTGGCTCTTTTCACCCCGTCTTCTAGAGGGGCCACGGCACGGCTGATGCGAGCTCCTCAGTCTGAAGAGGGTCAAGTGAGCTCTCTGGGGGATAGGTGTGTGGAGTCTGGCACCGGGGC